TCCCGCACAACAAAAAAAAAAAAAAAAAAAAAAAAAAAAAAACTCTCCATCTCTTGTCGGTGTTGGGCCTTTCATGTTGGGCCTTTAATGGGCCTATCCTGCTTTACAATGAACTACCACTACATTTTGGATGTCTTCATTCAACCACGAGTATGCGCTTTGACAAAACGATGGTATTAATTGAATGGGGGGACAATTATGGTCGTCAAATGGGAAAGATGCAACCTGAAAGGAAATCACATCATCTATGAAGAGGAGAATACAGTCTAACGCTAAGTCTGGTGATTATGAGCACATGGAAAGAATAACAGCAGAACTGGGGTTCTCTGGATATAAGGTCGTAAATATGTTGAGTTGCATATACCTTTCCCTCGAATCTTGAAGCATCATATAATCTCTCTGAACACAGGTTGTAAACCTTATATTTTCCCTGCACATTGAATCTATAATTGAGAAATCTGGGAGTTTCAACAACATCAAGTGCAGGTGAAAGAAGGGAGGCAGATTCTGGCTGAATGCTAATCAGATCCATTTTGCAGAAAATTATGAACACGGTGAAGGTCCGGTTTCCTCATTTGGCTAAAGAAAGAGGATGGTAATATTTCTCAATGGTTACCTTGTGATGGGTTTCAAAAAACTTGATCACCTCTTCCATGTGATTGCGGTATAGTCCCTGAATCACCGTTTATCATTAAGAAGCGCAAGATAAAAGAACTTAAACTTCAGATCTATAAAAGCTTATTTACCTCAAAAAATCCAAAGAGACCAGAGCTTAAATCGCCGGCTGGAAAGCCCATAGCAATTACATTCTCGGTTATGTATGTCATATCCAAGTCAAACTCCCCCTCCTGCAGATTAGACCAGATACCATAAAGCATTGATGTCAATGATACTGCAAACTGCTCTAGCATATGTCGTGCAGCATCATAAGGGATAGATAACAATGGATTTGAGTAAGCTTGTTGGAGCAATTCATAAGTGGAAAAAGAGTAGCTCTCAACACATGAATGGAGGAAGTAAGGATATTTGAATCTATCAGATATCTAGCAGCCAAGATGAGTAAGGAAATGTAAACATCAAATAGCAACCATACAGTGCCTTTAGCAGTCCTAGAGTTTCAATAATCTTACAACAGCATTATGATTATGCTAGTACCTGGTATCTTCTTTTATTTTGAGAAACCATATGCCGTGCTTTCACTTGTACAGCTTTCACGGCACTGCGGGATGAATCGACCACAGCTTTTGTGAGCGATTCGAGAGCATCCCCAACTTGCGCGCCTGGTGACTTGGAGTCTCCACTCTCATCTGAACCTTTTGTTGGCAGATGCAGCCCAAGTTCACTGGTGAATCTCGCAAAAGCTGACATCCCGGAATTAATAGTTTTTGAATCCTGCTGTGTGAATTTGAAGCTCTTGGCCCAAGTAGAAAGTCCAGAGGGAGAGAACACGGAGGGAACTGATTCACTCGGTGAGGCATTTGGTGGGCAGGGCACTACGTCTTCTGTTCCGTTCAAGGGTTCGGCAGCAGTAGTAATAGAAGGTAATTGAACATCAACTTTTCCGGAGGGAGCTTCTGTGCTTGCGAAAGTTTTAGGAGTTTCATCATTATCAGTTCTTTTAGGATCTTCCCCAACAATCTTAACCATGTCAGAAGGATCAGAATTATCAGAACCAGAAATATCTTCAGCAACCTTAGCCGGAGACTGAGCTAGCGAGCTGGTGGGATCAGAATCCATTTCGACAATCAAATACTAGCCGAGAGGTAGCACAAGACAACACTTTGTTGATAAGACGAGCCAAAGCAACCTAAGAACAAAAGGCAAATGCACATTCAGCTATAACCCTTTTATCCTACTGGGCCAAAAAAAAAACGACTAAATGCTAAAGCGAAGCAATTGCAGACAAAGATAGCATCCAGAATGCATAATTGTATCGACCATATCCTTGCATATTGCTCTCACAGAATACACATAGGTCAAACACACGTGTGAAAATGGATATGAACACGCAAACACACACGAGTACACAGATTTAAGAATCTCGCTAAAAGTCGTATTGCTTTATTCGCCTCTGGAGCACTGACTACAGCTAATTGCTTTCCAGCACCAGAACTATAACAAAATCTAACATTCCACACAGAAGTCGCCCATTCGAAGTATAAGTGAATTCCATTTCACGACATTCTACCACAAGTCTCCGGATGCAAACACCAAAACCTAACTTCGTTCGAAAGATCGGTAACGGTCAGGTGAAAAGAGATCCCAAAACCGAACAAGCAGCAAAAAACCTTCGTCATCACACCAAAACCAGCAAAACAGGGACGTTTCCACCGTGCGAGCATCGATCTAGCAGATAGATTATCAAGAATGCCCGAGCAAGAACCAGCCCGAAACAGCCAGTCATCTTGACAGAGCCAGATCAAGAAGTCGGAGATAAAACTAGATTCAAAATCGATTAGCATTGGCCGAGAAAAAGATGCGAAGGATTGCTCACCAGAAAACGTTGGAGATTTAGAGAAGGAAGAATGGAGATTGACGAAGTCAGATTCGAGTGGCTTTCAGACCAGAATACGTGCAGAGATGGACGATCAGCTTCCGACGCACACGGCCTGTTCGGACGCCCGCACTTGCCGGTCACAAAAAAAAAAAAAAAAAAAAAAAAAAAAAACCCTCCATCTCTTGTCGGTGTTGGGCCTTTCATGTTGGGCCTTTAATGGGCCTATAATTATTTTCATCTGACCCACACGATGACAACCCTCCTCAGATCTGTCACCCTTAAGAACAATTTCATCATCCTAAAATTTGGGATTAAATAACTGAATTATCTTGTAAACCACTGCGCTCGAAGATCTATCATGCCCAACCAAATCTATTAGCTAATTGCAGTGAAATGATATAATTGCACATATATTATAGTGTTTTAATAGACCAAGGCATTTTGCATTCCTTTTGTTGGAAATAATTATTGAGCATAAAACCTTTTTTTTATAACAAAAACAATACATGTAATCAAAGATATAACATATCATTCATGTTCCATAACCAAACGAAATTAAAAAAAAAAATTCAAGATGGCGGCTTGTAATAAGCATACACAGCATAAAAACTCTGAGAGAAGGTAAGAGTGAGCAAGATAGTAGCAGCAAACAGAGAGACAATAGCCCAAGGATTGTTGAAGTACTTGTGTTTCAAGGTAGCCCTCCAAGCGTTCCACTTCTTGTTGTAATAACGGTTAACCTCTTCGGACAAACGAGACAAATAACTGTCGTCTATGTCGAAAACGACCTCTTGACACAATCTGTTGAATAAATCTGCCACTTCCGAATCACTCCCTAACCAATGTTCAATGATTCCATAGTAGTGCAAGAGGCCTACATCTTGTGGAGAGTTTATAAGGTTGTCCATAAATATTATGTATGATGTTATGTCGTTGCTCGAGTCGATGTGGCATTGTTCCAAGGCTATGAGATTCAGGAACAAAGATTTTGTACCTGGGATTTAAGAAAAATCAAATTTTGTACGTTATATTAGAGTTGGAATTGGGTTTTTATGATCGTTTTAAAGCTTAGTGGTAATAATGAAAATACTTAAAACTTAAGGGAGTGTTACCGTCATGGATTAGTAGTCTGGGAATCTCGAGATAACCGTTCTTGAATCTGATGTCCCAAAACCGGTCGGTTTTCCGCTTCCGGAATCTGATCCCTGATTCCTTGAGTTCCGTCACGCAATGTACCAGCTGTTGCCGGCGTTTGTCAGCCACGCGCCGGTTGTGGGACCATCTCCTCCGAGATAACCTCGGCTCCGGTTTAGGACCAGACCGGAGAAGGCTTCGCCGGAAAACATCGAGGCAGTGCAACCCTCCCATGTCGGAGAATGGGTCAAAGGTTTTGTCTGTTTTCAGAGAGCTCTCGAGCTTTGACCGGTCGGTTTTGGTCAACGGCTCGTCCGTTGGCATCAACGGGTCGAAGAACCGAATCGCTAATTGTGCAACTAACCCGGTTTGGTTCGGTATACCGAGCTGGAGTTCGAGTAATTTGTCAAGCACGAACAAGGGGAGTTGGTTTTCCAGCATTATCATGTCTCTTTGGATCGAATGCATCGATCCTCTCATCGCGAATATCGGATCGTTACGTGCGTATCTACAAATTTCGGAATTTAAAAAGACATTATCAAAAACCAAATCTCAAAATGGGTGATAGAAAAGATGGAATCTTTTAGAAAGATTTGATCAGAATTCGATCTCTTACCCGAGTTCCTTGAACCCTTCAACAGCGCCTCTGAAGAGCTCAAGAACAAAACAGCCATCAAGAAGGAGCATTTCCACGAACTCATTACTGCTCATACCGATGGATCCTTCATAGCAAGCACGCGCCCTCTCCTCGAGCTCTTTCATGGCGTCAATATACATTTTGATATCTTGGTTCGTGCGTTTCAGAATCCTCTGAACAGCCCTCCATTTATGGCGGTCCATTGAACGGAGACGCTTCTTGCCATGGTGGTAAGGACCCAAAGACACGATCTGAGGGAAGTAGGACTTGTTGTCGTTTTCTTGCAGGTAATAAGGGACTCTGTAGATGCAGAGCTTCGCCCAGATGGAAGTGTCGTCGTCTCTATGAGCTTGATCGAGTTTGTCTCTGATGGAGATGACCCATTCGTCTCTGGGCTCTCTCGGGCTCTCTTTGATTTCGATCGTTATGGGCTCTGTCTGAACCTGTCGATGCTTCTGCAGGACATGATCTTGATCTGGTTCGGTTCCATCGGGCAGATTCTGATCGGTTTCGGATTGCTGTTTCTGGGCTTCGAGCTTTTCCCTGAGCTTGATGGTGATCAAGTACCAGCTCAACATGTCTTTGTAGAACACGGCCACCATTTTTTTTTTCTGGGTTTTTGGAGGATTTTTTTCTCTGATTGGAGAAGAGGGAGAAAAGTGGCAGTTGTCAAAGCATACAATGGAAATGATTCGAAGATGTGTTTTGGTTATTACAATTATGGGGGAAATTTGATTGACCAGTTGAGTCTATGGACCCATTTGATCTGTAATGACAGTGCCCGTGGCATTAATGTAAACATATATACACACACATACACGCAATTAGGGGAGTTTATGAATAATAATTTATAAAATAACCATTTTTTTTGCATATTTGAAATGCGAACTAGGGGAGACAAAAGTGGTTGGGAGGATAAGATTATGATATAGAATTAGAACAAGTTATACCTATAATTTTATTTTTCTTAATTATACGTAAAAAATGTAAAGAGATATGAAGAAGATTTGAGAAGATTACGTAATATTTAGATTTGATTTTATTTTTATATTTTAGATATTTATATTTATTAAATACCCGAAATGTAACCAAACCCATCATTTAGAATCGTAACCTACAATTAAGAGGAATAAAAGCCTTTCAAAAAGATTTTGTGTTCTTTCATTAGCATATATTATTATATGCGATATGGTTAAACAGGTTATAGTTTAGGAAAGTTTTGCTTCCGCTAATCAAATTCACACAAAAAAAAAAAATCGGGTCAACCATGGGCGGATGCATGTGGAGGGGAGTGGGGGCACAGGACCCCACTAAAAAAATAAAAAAATACTAATGTGTTTATAGTTATTAAAAATTTGAGAGAGTGCCCCCGTCAAATTTTCATATAGGCCCCCTCTTATTTTTTTTTCTTTTTTTATTATTTCCTTTTTTATAAAAAATTAGGGTAAGAATGTTTTTAAGTATCCGCCGCTATAGTTTTACTTTTTGTTTAATTTTTTTCAATTTAAAATCCTTTTCTAATTATACTTTGATAGGTTTTCTAATGCAGGACGTTTGACGTAATCAAAGCACGCAACTCCTCATGTTGGATTCTGTAGATATCTCAGGTCTTAGGATCCAATCATGGAACCGCCATATGAGATTCAAGTCATGACGCTAGTCCATGTGACAATCTCATGCGGGTCAATCCAGTATAATTTAAAATCCTTTTCTAATTATACTTTGATAGGTTTTCTAATACCAAATTACTTTGCAAAAACACAATTATAAAAATCGTCATCTCTATTGTTTCTCTTTGTTTTCATCTATTTTTTAAATCATCCATCTATTTCTCAATTCTCTAAAAACATCCTTAAATCTGATACTTAATCATATAAAAAGCAAAGAACAACCAAATTAAAAGGTATGTAAGTGTTATAATTTTTTTGAAGTAATTTTTGATTTTTTATTTGTTCATCGATTTCTATGTTTTAATCATATTTGTAAATTAATTTTTTGTTATATATATTTATTCAATTTTATTTTTGATTTAACAGAGAAATCAATGGATAAATTTCTCAAGAGAAATTTTGCATCGATGTCTCAAGATAGAGGTAAAGCTTCAATCGACAATACATCAAATTCTCAGGTTAGACCCTCAATACCTGAGCAAATTGATTTACATGATTTGCCTTCGGATCCGGCTGATAGAAAAAAAATATTAGAGTATCATCCTAATCAAAGAGATGAGATACGACGCAAATATTTGATTAGGGGACCTTGTCAACCACGTGGTCATGACTTTCCAAAGAAGATGATAGGGAATAAATTGAGACGATTTAATCCAGTCTGGTTTGACCAATACGCTGATTGGTTAGAGTATAGTATAAAGAAAGATGGAGCATTTTGTTTGTGCTGTTACTTGTTTAGAGAGCAAATTGGGAATGATGCTTTTGTGACAGATGGGTTTTCTAGTTGGAATAAGACCGAGAGATTGAGCGCTCATGTGGGTGATGTTAATAGTTTTCATAATAATGCACGAAAGAAATGTGATGATTTGATGAGGCAAGATCAATCTATCGTGCATGCTATGCAGAAGCAAAGTGATATTATGAGAAACGAGTATCGTATTCGGTTGAATGCCTCGATTAGTTCTTCTAGATTTCTGTTGAAACAAGGGCTACCGTTTCGAGGTCACGATGAGTCAGAAAATTCTGATAATAAAGGAAATTTTCTGGAACTTGTGAAGTATACTGCAGAACAAAATGATATTGTGAGTAAGGTTATTTTGAAGAATGCTCCGGGAAATAGTCAGATGGTTTCTCCAACAATACAGAAAGATATTGCACAATGTTTTGCAGAACAAATAACCCAAGATATAATTCAGGAGATTGGTCATGATGTATTTGGGTTGCTGGTGGATGAGTCTAGTGATGTTTCTGATAAGGAGCAGATGGCAGTTGTTTTTCGTTTTGTTGATAAGAACGGAATAGTGAAAGAGAGATTCATTGAGCTTATTCATGTGAAAGAAACATCTGCTTTATCTCTGAAGTCTGCTATTGATTCCTTGTTTGCTAAATATGGATTGAGCTTAAAACAAGTTAGAGGACAAGGGTACGATGGAGCAAGCAATATGAAAGGAGAATTTAATGGATTGAGATCATTGATTTCAAGAGAAAGTAGAGCAGCATATTATGTCCATTGTTTCGCTCACCAACTTCAATTGGTCGTTGTAGCAGTTGCAAAGGAACTCTTTGATGTTGGAAACTTTTTCGATATGATTTCACTTTTGTTGAGTGTGGTTGGAGGTTCTTGCAAAAGAAAAGACATGATTCGAGAAAGCCATAGAATAAAAGTGAACGAAGAAATTAATAATGGCGAGATTAGTACAGGAACTGGGTTGAATCAAGATATTACTTTGCAGAGACCTGGAAATACTCGTTGGGGGTCCCATTACAAAACACTGTTGCGCTTGGTTGAGTTGTTTTCTTCTATCATTGAGGTGCTAGAGTATGTTGAGAATGACGGTACAGATACAGTTAAAAGACGTCAAGCCTATGGTCTTCTCAAATATTTCCACACATTTGATTTTGTGTTCTATCTACAACTGATGTTACTCATTCTAGGACTCACAGATAATTTATCAATGGCTTTACAGAGAAAAGATCAAGACATTTTGAATGCCATTTCGTTGGTAAAATCTACAAAGAGACAGTTACAACAACAAAGAGACGCTGGATGGAATTTGCTTTTAGATAATGTGTCTTCTTTCTGTGAGAAACACAATATTGAAATAATCAATATGGAGGAAGATTATGTGGGTTCAAGGAGGCTAAGGAAAAAACCCAGTATAAGCAACTTGCATCACTATCAGATAGATTGTTTCTATACTGTTATGGATTTCCAGCTTCGAGAATTCAATGATCGATTTGACGAGGTAAATTCAGAACTGCTCATCTGTATGGCAGGTTTGAGTCCTATTGACTCATTTCGTGGGTTTAACATGCCAAATCTTGTGAAATTGGCTGGATTTTATCCAGATGACTTCAGTTTTTCGGAGCAAGTATCTCTTCGACATGAACTGAGTATCTACTTCGACAATCTGATGGAAGATGACAGATTTTCTAATTTGGTTAATCTTGGAGATCTTGCTCGTCTTATGGTGGAAACAAAGAAACATCTTTCATATCCATTGGTATACAGGCTTTTGAAATTGGCATTGATTTTGCCTGTTGCTACCGCGACTGTTGAGAGATGTTTTTCATCGATGAATTTTGTGAAGACAGCTTTGCGCAACCGGATTGGTGATCAATTTTTGAGTGACTGTTTGGTTTGTTTCATTGAAAAAGATATATTCCAGACAGTTACAAATGAAGCTGTTATGGATAGATTTCAAAAAATGAAGACTCGTAGAAATCAGTTGTAAAATATAAATATTTTTATGATAATACAATTTTATTATTTTTTCTATCATACATAATACTGTGCCCCCGGTATAAATTTTTTCTGGATACGCCACTGGGGTCAACCAAGCGAATTATGTATTAGGAAATAAGAGCATATCCGAACACGTTCACACACCAGATGAGGACCAAATCCAAGCACATGCCATGCATGGGCGGATGCATGTGGAGGGGAGTGGGGGCACAGGACCCCACTAAAAAAATAAAAAAATACTAATGTGTTTATAGTTATTAAAAATTTGAGAGAGTGCCCCCGTCAAATTTTCATATAGGCCCCCTCTTATTTTTTTTTCTTTTTTTATTATTTCCTTTTTTATAAAAAATTAGGGTAAGAATGTTTTTAAGTATCCGCCGCTATAGTTTTACTTTTTGTTTAATTTTTTTCAATTTAAAATCCTTTTCTAATTATACTTTGATAGGTTTTCTAATACCAAATTACTTTGCAAAAACACAATTATAAAAATCGTCATCTCTATTGTTTCTCTTTGTTTTCATCTATTTTTTAAATCATCCATCTATTTCTCAATTCTCTAAAAACATCCTTAAATCTGATACTTAATCATATAAAAAGCAAAGAACAACCAAATTAAAAGGTATGTAAGTGTTATAATTTTTTTGAAGTAATTTTTGATTTTTTATTTGTTCATCGATTTCTATGTTTTAATCATATTTGTAAATTAATTTTTTGTTATATATATTTATTCAATTTTATTTTTGATTTAACAGAGAAATCAATGGATAAATTTCTCAAGAGAAATTTTGCATCGATGTCTCAAGATAGAGGTAAAGCTTCAATCGACAATACATCAAATTCTCAGGTTAGACCCTCAATACCTGAGCAAATTGATTTACATGATTTGCCTTCGGATCCGGCTGATAGAAAAAAAATATTAGAGTATCATCCTAATCAAAGAGATGAGATACGACGCAAATATTTGATTAGGGGACCTTGTCAACCACGTGGTCATGACTTTCCAAAGAAGATGATAGGGAATAAATTGAGACGATTTAATCCAGTCTGGTTTGACCAATACGCTGATTGGTTAGAGTATAGTATAAAGAAAGATGGAGCATTTTGTTTGTGCTGTTACTTGTTTAGAGAGCAAATTGGGAATGATGCTTTTGTGACAGATGGGTTTTCTAGTTGGAATAAGACCGAGAGATTGAGCGCTCATGTGGGTGATGTTAATAGTTTTCATAATAATGCACGAAAGAAATGTGATGATTTGATGAGGCAAGATCAATCTATCGTGCATGCTATGCAGAAGCAAAGTGATATTATGAGAAACGAGTATCGTATTCGGTTGAATGCCTCGATTAGTTCTTCTAGATTTCTGTTGAAACAAGGGCTACCGTTTCGAGGTCACGATGAGTCAGAAAATTCTGATAATAAAGGAAATTTTCTGGAACTTGTGAAGTATACTGCAGAACAAAATGATATTGTGAGTAAGGTTATTTTGAAGAATGCTCCGGGAAATAGTCAGATGGTTTCTCCAACAATACAGAAAGATATTGCACAATGTTTTGCAGAACAAATAACCCAAGATATAATTCAGGAGATTGGTCATGATGTATTTGGGTTGCTGGTGGATGAGTCTAGTGATGTTTCTGATAAGGAGCAGATG